TGTAAAAATATTACATCTGAACACAAACTCTATTTTTCATGTTCATTTTTCTTGAAAAAAATGGAGTATTACTCCATTACTGGACACACCCTATAAGTTTTGATGAGTCTGAAACTTCGAACCACATGGACCCGGCTGCCGAAATATCAGAACAACTATGCCTGTTAAAGTAAGTATTGGAACCTTGAGTCAAGTAACAGGTCCTGTGGAGGTGTCTGCAGGATGACATTATGACTTTGAAGAAGACAGTACTGATTGTCTTTGGGTGCAAAGTCTATTTTGTTGTTTGATTATCAATCACCTCCCACCACTTAAGAATGCAGAGTAGAACTGGAATTATTAGGAAGACTAAAGTGCAGTAATCATTGCTAATCAAAGGCAAAATGCTTGGTGACATGGCGCAGTCCTATTGGTGGTTAAAACCGAATGCTTTTGAAAGGTAATATGTGCAGTCACTGATTTGCCTATTGAATTTGCAGAAGGAGAACTTCATCACGCAGGAGAGTCCATGCTGAAAGTGAGTCATTTCTTCGACTGTACATTTTTATCATTTGACACTGATGCATCAGCAGATCCTACTTCTGTGGTTCATTTCAATTTGCTCCCACTTGAGGACATGTACGTACATCAATTAGTCGAGGATTGTAATGTAGATTTGAAAACATTGAAGCTAGGCTTCTTTAAAATTGCATTCTAGAAGGCTAATAAGATGTGTAAAGATGTTTCAAAATACAATATGTATGTTTAAAAATAAAGTTTTTTTTATATATTTGGATAAGGGATAATTATATGCTCATGTTAATATTTCATTTTTTAGACCTTAAAAAGTAGATGATTTATGGTAAAAAGATTAATACTTGCAAAACTTTTTTTTTTTTTGAGGTTTAAGGACCCTCAAATAATAAAATTAATAATTTTTTAAAAAAATTGTAATAAATAAAAGAATGAATATTAAATTTAAAAAATAAAAGCATTTATTCTTATTTTGGCATGATAAATATTTTGAGATTTAAAAGTATTAGGATATAAAGAATAAAAATTATAAACCATTTACTTGAGTAGTCTGTGGGGCATTTATACCCTTCATACACCATGATTCTCTCTTTTCTAAAAGGGTACAAGAGTATATTCCTACTATAATATTAATAAAAAATAAATATTTTATTATTAATGAGAAAAAAAATATCTCTATATAACAACATTGATAATAAAAGCATATCAAAGGAAAAATATCTAGATTTATTTTTGTCATTTAAAGATCTTTAGAGGATGAAAATAAATCATTACTAGTTGGGGTATACCTGAGGCAATCTTCTTAGTATTTAGGCTTGGTATGCGGTTGAGGCCATACCAAGTGGGGTTTTCCTTAGGACAATTCTCTTAGTATTTGGATTCAATACTTGACTGAATCCATGACAATTGAAATTTGTCTTGGAATAGAATCTTCTTGATACATAGGCTTAACTGAATCCATGACAATTGAAATTTGTCTTGGAATAGAATCTTCTTGATACATAGGCTTAACTGAATCCATGACAATTGAAATTTGTCTTGGAATAGAATCTTCTTGATACATAGGCTTAACTGAATCCATGACAATTGAAATTTGTCTTGGAATAGAATCTTCTTGATACATAGGCTTAGCAGACTACGGAACTCATGCTAAATAGGATATGTCTAAAGATAGTTTTTTTCACACTTGGGCTCTATACGTGGTGGAGCCCATGACAACTAGGGTCTGCCTTAGGACAGTCCCCTTAGCACTTGGGTATAGTATGTGATTGAGTCTATGAACCTGTTTGGCAACGAGGTTGCGTCTGCGTTTTATTTAAAACGCAGATGTAACCTGTTTGGTATACAAGTTTCATTTTTTTTCGCGTCCGAAACGCAGGAAAAGAAGAAGCAGCATTTTGCTGCTTTGTGCACACTGTTCATGCTAATTTTAATTAGCGTGAACAGTGTATGTGAACAGTGCAATAGATTTGCACTTAGTTTAAAGTAAATTAAATTAATTTGTACTGTGAATAATATTTTTTTCCTAAAAAATTAGTATATAGTGAATTAAATTCACTCGCATTATAATATTAATTTTATACCTGATAATATTTTATCTAATTTTATTACACGCTCAAAATATTATGAAAACTGTAGTTTTTATCGGATAAATTTTGTACGTAATGGAATTATAAATAATTTAATGGAATAATAAAAAATATTTTATATAAAATATTATTTATTTCATGATGTAATAGGAGTAATTAACTCTATAATATTTAAATTTAAAACCATCAATATTAATATATATTTTTTAAAATTATTTTATAACTTTAATTTCAAAAGTATTTTTAACCGAATACATTAAACTACTTTTTTTAACCTCAATTTCAACCATAGTTTTAACCAAACACCTATTTTTTCAAATCAACCTTAACTAAAAGTATTTTTTATAAAACAACTTTTTTTAAACCACAAACACAACAGCTATCGCAATACCAAACATACTCTATGTAAACTAAGCTCTATCTTGATGCAATTCCTTTTGTATTTTAGGCTCACCATGCAGTCCTTTTTTAGGGATTACTTTACGGGGGATGATAATAATTTAATCTAAAACCAAAAAATAACTACTCAACCCAACCTAAATAAATGAGTATGTTTTAAATTTGATGAATAATGAATATAATATAAATATTGTCAAACTTTACTTGCAACTCCCTTATACCTAACCTAAAATATATATTTATATTATATAAATATATTTATAGAATATTTAGAGTTTTTTAATAAATATGATATATACATATCGTGAAATTTGAAACCTGATAAATAATTTATGAATATCTAAATTTTTTTATTAATAGATATCATATAAGGTTTAAATATCAAGAAATCCAATCCACATTTATCCATTAACATCCCTAGATTTAACCCTAGCTCTTTCAGAAGGGTAATCCCTCTGGTTCACAATTTAATTAGCTAAATGAAAATGTTTATACATGTTACAGCTTAGATGGATGTCTATCCAACAAACTATAGCACTACATGGTAGTTATGAAAGAGGACATACATGTGAACATGACGTTTAAGTTGTATTAACCTTTTACGGTCTTCTTTCGGATTTGAGCAGTACGTGTGAATATGTCATCTAAGTTATTATTATCACCTCAAGAGTAAATCAAATGAGCGGAATGCGTTCTTGACTGCATTGCATAAACAAGTGATAAAAGAAAAATTAAAATCAATAATATGCAAATACAAATGACGCAGCAAATAGGACATGAAACATCAACGTGAACATCGAGAGAGAGAGAGAGAGACAGCTGAATCCTATTTTAAAGAATACAAATTCAATAACGTGTTACAGCTAAGGATCTTATCTTCCTCTTCTATATATATATATATATATACATGCTTATGATCGGGACCGTTTCTAAATATCATTAAAAAGATACAGGGTATAATAATGGTTGTTTTTAAAAAATTATTTAAAAAAATAAAAAAAAAAATATATATATATATATATGTCAAACCACAAACCAAGTACATCATAAGAGTACATGTGAATAAGCTAACACAACATCAACAGAAGGTCCAAGTGTTAATAAAGACAAAGCATGCCCAACGGGATAACGCATGCTAGACAAGCCATGGACCCACTTGGATGTTCCCGTGCTGACCATGATCGGTTCCATGTTCAAATCAAGCTGTGGCTCTCTCTTCTCCGTTCCTACCTATCCCTAATTTCTCACACAGATGTCTTCCACTGAGAAAGATAAAAATACCATGTTTTTTTTTCTTGCAGTCTGTTCGGTTAGCAAGAAAATAGAACGTGGGCATTTTACTATTTTGAGAAGCTTTCCTGAATCACTTGCATGAACTCTATCCATTTCTTGATAGCTGAAAATCAATCTTAATCTTCCTTTCTTCAGCAAGGTTATGGCTTCATTTTCTAGATGTTAATTGTGTTGAATTAAACCAAGTCGATCGTGTCACATTCCCTCTAAGGATCAAGGAACAATATATAAGGCAGCAATTTAATAATGACATTTCCTGGCAGAGATATTTTTCAAGAAGGTGGTCCTGATCATGCCTCTATCGAGCCAACCAACCATTCAAAACCCGTCTTCCATAATTCCATGCGCTCATATCGTAATAAATTATAATTCAATGTAGATATTGGTTCATGACTTTTTCCTTTCTTTCTACATATAACTTCTTCGTATATATGTTACCAACAAATTATATTGGAAAAGGTGGTTCATAAAGACCTAAGATAGCAAGCTATGCTTGCATCGATGACAAAAATAAATAAATAAATAAAACCAAACCATAGTACATAAAAATGATCTAAATATTGTTTTTAGTCTATCAAAATATTCCACAACAGATTTTCTTGGAAACAAATTATATAAATTCAGATCACAACTGAATAATGTAATATTGGAGTGGTGTCACCATGTAATATTGCAATGCAATAAATTGTCACCCTTCAGTGAAAATATTAAAAATAAATATATTTTTAGATCATTTCTCACAGTTCAAAATTTGATTTTTCTCCGAGTTTTAAATTAAGTATCTCGTGAATGACGTTCATCTTCATCTCTGCTTTTATCTCCATTTTAAAATCGATCAATATTATTTCTCCCTCAAGAAAACTACAAAAAGATGCACAGACTTTCAGTAGTTTTCCATTGCATTTTTCAAGAAAATAGTATATGGTAAAAAAGCTTTCAAGTTTTAATTTCTGTAGCTACTTTTTTTTAAGATTCTCGATAAAATATAGATGATTGGGAATTATAACCACGAGGCAAACGACCGGAGGTTCCTAAATACTGAATATCCCTTCCCAGTTCCCAAGGAATTAAAGCAGGCATGCTTCACAAAGTTCTTCATTACCCTTTTCATACTGCTTACTTCGTCTCTGATATTTAAACAATTAAAATATATAATTACTGCCAGTGTTGATATATATAGTCAGATTTAGAGAGAGGGAGAGGGCGTTAATTTAATTTTCAATCATTAAAACCACATATATTCTTACAAATATATATCATCTGGGTTCATAAAACATTAATAATACATACGTACTACCAGAGAGAAAAAACCTCTTCAAACCCCTCTCTTCATTTTTCAAATATGCATATTCCAATATCACAGTCAGAACTTGAACTTAAGAATCCATTAAACTTGTTCCCGTCATCTCTACCACTTTGCAACAACAGAAATGGCATATCTGAGTTATTTTCTGCCCCAACAAAGCTTGAAACACCATCACCATCATATCTTTCTTCTTGACTCAACTGAGAAGCAACAAACTTGTCAAGGGCTCTCCAGTCAGTTACTTTCTGGGTGTTGTTGTTGGACAATCCATTTTGCTCTACCTCTTCATTGTTACTGTTATTATTCTCTGATATCAAAGACCTTGACGAGGTTGGCCTCTTTATTAATGTCTCAGATGGGCTCTTTAACTGAGGAAGCTGTACAAAATTTTCTGAGTGCATGCAACTTAAGTTATCTCCTTCTATCTCCTGCTTACACAAGAAATTATGAGCCAAAAAGCCTTGAGGTTGCCTTGCTATATAATCAATAGGATCCACCACAGAGCTAACCCCACTTGATTCCTCATAGAAGTAGCTTGAGTCCCACCCTTCAATGCTCTTGGTTTGCCCAGTAGTTCGCTTCTTAAATGCACGACAAACTACCCATCCTTCTTCCTGCAATAACTTAACCAAAGTATTAAGAGATCATGAGTTCCTTTTCATTTTAGGTTTTTCAAACTTTGTTTAATGCATAAAAGAAGGCTCAAAACAAATGTTGATTTTTTTGTTATATTTACATAATTTCTCTCGGCCTTTTGAGTTATCTTTTTGTTTGATAAAGAGAGGTAGGAGTCAAAGATGAAGAACAAGGATAAGAATTGGAATTGGAATTTTGAAAAAATGAACAAATAAAAGCATCCCATACCGGAAAAGGAATCGGAAGAAATCTATTTCACATGCTTTAGAATGACTAATGACCTTTTGACTAAAGGGATGGTGGAAGTCTTCTTTCTATAGAACATAAACACTGAAACTACAGTTAGTGGTCTATGCATGCAAAAGCAAAGAGTGATTCTGTTTCTCAAAAGTTGAAAAGTTGGATTGAACAGAATGATTTAATCTAAAGGCCATCTATTTTTCCCCTAAAAGTTAGATAATATGAAGAATTTATGAAGCACTAAAGATCTTGTCCAAGAGACTTTAATTTGTCTCATGAAACTCAAAGTAATGGATTCCTAAACCCTCTTTATAAACTCTTATATGTCAAAGAAAGTTCCACATATTAGATCAATATATTTATGTAGAGCCTGTTCAAAGCTAATTTAGTATGTTGGAAGACCATTAACTTGCTTTCACCTTTAGGGCGACATATCCATTTGTGGTGGGGGGGGGTTGGGGGGTGTGTTGTTTTGGTGGTGGTGTTATTGTGACATATATAAGTTGATATGCTTGCCTGTGGAGGACCATTCTCATCTGATTCAAGCCGGTATTCATGCATGATCCAGTGAGTTTTCTGTCCATTTGGAGCTCTTCCTTTGTAGAAGACAAGGGTTTTCCTCATGCCAATGAGTTTTGTTTTGTCATACACTGCCTTGTCTCTCCCGGTAGCCTTCCAAAAGCCAGCCATGGTTGCTCTATTAGTCCTTGTCCCTGTTGGATACTTCTTATCCTTGTGGCTGAAGAAGTACCACTCATTCTGCTCTTCATATCCGATCCAGCATCTCTCTGTACATCACAAACAATATTGTACATTAACAGGTTTTATCTAGCTAGGTTGACTTAAGTCTCTTCTATCGACTATTGGCTACCTATTTATGGGTAGCTACTGATGTCAGCATGACCTAAAGAAATATAGCGCAAACTGCTAACCCATCTGATCCACTAATTTCAAAAGACGTGCACGAGGTAGTGATTAAAGTGTGTTGCATACAGACACTTGTTGATGCACAGAAACGAAGATCGTCAAAACTAATCCTAAGCAAGACCAAACCCTATGCATGATTTGTATAAAGTTCCAATTAACGATATTTCTTAGGATCTATATATCAAACCCTAAAAAGACAAAGAAAAAATAAAAGAGCAACTGATATTATGCAGAACTTAATTTGATATACCTTGTAGATCCCATGGTTCAATTCTGTAAAGATCAATATCTCTAATAACATCAAGATCAATCTTTTGTGATGCAACTTTCTTCCTTAGATAATAGCCAACAAGCTCTTCATCGGTTGGATGGAACCTGAATCCAGGTGGGACACAAGACTCCATTGACTCCATCATAACAACTGTTGATGATGCTGCATAAAATTCACCACCACCATTACCATCAATAATAATGCTCTCTAATTCATCATCTTTTAATCATTAACAAAATGTGAGTGAGTGAATGAACGAACTCATATAAAGACACTAGAGAGATCACAGAAAACCAGAGAATAAAAGGCTAAAAAAAGAAAGCTAGCTTGAATTTTAGTGATAAAAAGAAAAAAAAACTCAAAAAGAAATAATGTACCGTCCAAATAAAAGGTGACATGTGTTACAGGTATAATCATCAACTCATTTGGTGGTGAGCAACACTCACCATATATATATTATCTATGACAGGAAAATAAGCGCGTGTTTTTAAAACAAAACGCCCCATAATTATTTTTTTCACATAAATTTTCTTATGAAGATTAGTTGGAAGAGGAAAGAAGGTGAGATGGGAAAAAAATCAAAATCATGATAAGAAAGTTTGTAATTTTTGATAAAAAAAACAAGAGGAAGCTGGAGCTTAGCTAGGGAGCCCTCTATTTGTACAGGGTCCATCAAGCAACGGACAGCTAAAGGCTTGCACTAATGATGTTGTCTTGTGTTAGTGAATGGTAGAAATGATGCATCAAGAACGGGGTTTCTGTTACAATACTATAAACAAGCATGATTAAAAAATAAGATTAAATATTAATTAGTGTGTTCTATATTTTGTTTAGAAAGAAGAAAACTGCCAAATGGACATTGAGGATGACGTTATCACAAATCTTAAAGCACGCGTTTCTCGAAAGAGAAAAAGGTTAAGAGAAGGCAAAAAGAGAAGCACAGTTTCTTATTGGATCAAGCCTGCAGGGAGATAGGGAAAG